ATGGCCGTCTGTTACCTGGCCTAATATCTATAACTTCCTCATCCAGACATACAGTGTTTATACATGACTGACCTCCTCCAGATCTCCACACCTGCCCGCTCCCTCCGCTCCTCCTATCCTCTCCAGCTCTTGGTCCCTCCTGCCCGCCTTGTCACCATGTGGAATAGAGCCTCTCCAAATCCACCCTCAAAACTCATCTGTTCTGACAAGCCCACTCACTAACATCATAACCACACTCTCCTCTCTCCATGATGCTTTTAACTGTTTTTAAAATACACTTTTTTTACTTGGTTGTAAGGCAACCGTGAGTGTTGAGAAAACAAATTATTAAAAAAAAAACCAAAAGCATATAGATCTATAAATACATACAATTATGTGGACATGTGAAGAATGTGAAATACTTCCACTCTGGGACTGAGTTCTATGTTTTGAGGCTGATGTGCTCCCAGTCAGAGAGTGGGCATTAAGTCAGTACGTCTACAAAGACTCGGTGCACATCCTTACTCTGAACTGTTCCTGTATGGCAGGTAGGGTGTTTCTTATTTTTGAAGATTCGATTTTTGCATGGGCCACCCTGCCATTTGGTTCATTATCACAAAAAAGTAATACCCTATTTTTTTTTTTTTTTTTAGAATGATTTTTAGGGGTTGCTACCGACCCTACAGTATCATGTGCATGTGCTTTGATACTACTGCAGCCAATACTGGGCCAAGAAATGGGGCTTGCATTCTTCTAGAGCAGAAGTTTGGGAAAGATATGTTGTGGTTGGCATGTCGTCATCACATTCTGGAAATTATTTTGGAAGCAGTAGTTTTGCTGTGTCTCGGCCCTTCAAGTGGACCTGACATACCACTCTTTAAAAGATTTCAGAAAAGTTGGGTCTCAATTGATTCTACAAAGTACCACACAACACAGTCTGATAAGAACGCTTCAAATGCTCTTACCGATATCACTGATGAAAGAATCGTCTTTTGCAAAGATCAACTACAAATCTTTCAACCTCGTGACGACTACCGAGAACTTTTGGAGTTGTCTATTGTTTTTTTGGGAGGAGTACCTTTGAGGGGCATTTCATTTAGAGCTCCTGCCGGTCTACACCGTGCTCACTGGATGGCTATGAAACAGGCTACTGTGGACTGCTCAGTTATCCAAGAAAAGAAGCTGGAGGACTTTGTCACGTTTAATACACGAAGATTTTTCAGCATCACAGGACTTCCATCACACTTTCTTCAAAACAGTGTGAGTGAATGGGAACATGATGATGAGTTCAAGACTATAAAGTCCACTGTTCGAAGCATGAAGGTTGTCAACGACATTGCAGAACGTGGCGTAGCACTAATGGACGAATATAATAGACTACATACAAACAACGAAGAGCAAAAGCAGTTCCTGTTGTTGGTAGTTCACAAATATAGACAGAAATATCCTGACAGAAAAAAGACAACTCTCATGAGCGATTAATCTTAGTACAGTAACTATTGTCTTAAATAAACCTACAATCAAAGTAAAAAAGCATGTTAATTCTGTCTTTTAATAAATAAGTAGAAATGCAATGACAGAAAATGGATGTTTTTAATGCATGTAACAAGTAAATAAATGTGTACCAAGTAAATGAGTCATTATCACCAGTCTCCATCAGTTTTATGATTTTTTTTTCCTATGTTAATGACTACGAGCGCATAGTAAAATATGCCTTAAATTTCAATGACTGGTAGCACCCAGTAAAAATGTTTTTTTCCCCTTGAAATGTTTACGCATTTATTTTCTCACCAAAATGAACCATTTCAGTGGGTGGCCCACTGAAAAACAATTTTTTTTTTTTTTAACCCCAAATAAGAAGCACCCTAATGGCAGGGTATGGACATGTAACTTGCTTTTAATGTTCAATTACAGTCTTAACCTGGTGCACACCCATTAACCCCTTTATTAGTGTAATCTGCGTTATGTTTTATGTTCTGCGCTGTCTGAAGAAGGAGCAGGACACAAGGAGGACCACTGAATGACATTTACTAGTAGCTCTGCACAAAATAAAACACATCCACTTCACGTCCATCCATGCATTCAGCTCAGCAGTCCCCTCAGATGCAAGGCGCAGTTCTCCTGATAAAGGGGAAAAGCCACATTAATAAGTAGTTACTACATTTTGAGTGGTATACAGGTTGATCACTTTTGTTCTCCAGTTGTCTTTGTATTAATGGTAAAAAGACAAGTTTGTGATTTTAGCTCTAAAATATTGGTGTGCTCTTCATCCACTCACAGTATCAGTATTGTTGTGACTAGAAGGCTACACAGGCTCACTTATGAACAACTGTTTAGTTAGTTATTTGAAGACTGTTTCTCCTCAGACTAAAACGAAGGAGCCTCCCTAGCTACTTATTTAGCAAAACAGCTAATGTTAGCATTATAGCAACGTCAGCTGTTTGTGCTATAAGTGAGCTGGCTTTAACTTGACTGATCATGATTACATCAGGTCACAGCGGGTTCTCTTCTTATAGCGACATGATGTAACAAGTGATCACTTATGGGTTGGAGTTGGACTCTTTCATTATTAGCTTCTGTAGGACACAGACACTTACCAGCTATGAAGTTTGCGCTTAGCATTTATGTACGCAGGTCTCCGTAGATGGCCTGAAGCCTGTTCTTCGTCTTCTGTAGTAACCAGACTGTAAAGATTGTAGCAACGTGCGTGTGTTTTGCTTTTGTGACATCCGGTGTCTCCAGCCAATGGGCGCGCTGAGCCCGCCCCTCCAAAAAGGGGTCAGATGAAAAATGTATCGTAACCGTAAGTTTTGACCCGTAAGCGTAGCTTGTGAATCGTAAACGTAACTTGTGAATCGTAAACGTAACTTTTGAAGCGAAACATGAAAAATCAGAACCGTAAATGTAAGTTTTAATTTTTTTCATTTACAATATATTTTTAATGTTTACAATACTACAACCTACGATTACAATTCCTGCTTTACGGTTACGCTACAGTTTTTTTGTTTACAATATTTTTTTAGGTTTACAATACTTACAACCTACGTTTACAATTCCTGCTTTACGGTTACGTTTAAGCAGACCCTATTTTGACGCCATAGAGGTGGATCTACCATGAAAGGGCCCATAATCCGGGGAGGAGCGGAGGATTTGGAGTGAGACAATGAAAGTGATGGCAAGCGTTGCAAAAAAAATTAAATCTCGAAAATGCTTGAATTCAGTGGCTTTTATTATTATTTCTGTGTATTCTGTCCTATAAAACAAATCTACTGTTTTGATGTCATTTTGCCCTACAAACGACTATTGAGAATATTAATATTTATATATCATATCAAGATTAAAAAAAACACTCGATTCTACCTCATATTTTATCATTGTTTGCAGTGTACGAGAGTTGTGTCTGCCTATTGAAAAATATACTGCAGCTACAGCGTTTGCCACTTTTATCACTAGTAATGAGAGTTTTCATTCTTGTTCTTGTTTTAATTTGCTACAACAGTCTCTCATCATGTACAGATCTGGAGTTGTTTTTTGATCCATCCATGATAATATCTGGCTCTTATGTAAGGCATGAACATGTAACGCTGCCCCCTCTGTCTGAAAGCTTTTGTCCTCTAATGGCTGGGTTGCAATCATGTGACCCGAAGGAAGCAGGATTGCAACTTATATTTCAAGTGAAAACTATGTTCAATACACTATACGCCTTGTAGTTCAATATTTTCAACAATGGGAAGGATTAAGCAAGGACTGGGATCAACAGAAGCCACGTCCAAGATGAAAGCTCCATTATTATAGCTACAGCAGTAAGTTAACAGAAATAAGCTAGCAGCAGGGGGTTGCAACGAACGCAGCCAAACGTTTAGGCATAGAGCTTGGAAACTACTTTAGAAATGACCCTGGTCTTAACAGTCCCAGTCGTGAAAATCACTCTTTTAACAAGAACCCATTGGTTTGAGACGACCTGGGGTATTGAAAAAACAAACTGAGAAATCGAGGAGACAAAAGTTTTTCCTTGGGTACGAGAACCGTACGCCTCTTTCCCAGAAAGTCAGTGAAGTAAAGATTTCCGTCTGTCAGCTGTTTGTGGCAGTTGCTACACAGGCTAATGCATTTCTTCCGTTCATTTTTGGTAATTTCCTATCAATTGACTCCTGTTAGAAAAATATATGGATTCTCATGGTTCTTAATGGAGATGTTTACTTCATGTCTCTTGCAGGACTCGTCACTGTGCTGACGTCAGCCGCAACTCAGCAATAGTTGTCCCACTATGACATCACGCTCATAGCAAATTTCTGCCTTTGAAGCAAAAGTACTGTCCATAAATTAGTTTTGGTGAAATTATGTTCTTTTGGCAGGCTCCTATCACTGCGCTGCCGAACGGAATGTATCAAGTGATCCTTTGTTCCTTCGGCTGTCAGACTGTACAACAAACCTGGATGAGTCTTCTGCTGCTGGACATCTGAATTTCTCCTATGGGGGATCAATATAGTATCTATCTATCTAAAATCACGTGTCTGTGTTTGCACACAGTAATTTTTAGGGAGAAAAAAACATAGTTATATTTGACCCTCCCTCTGGTGGAAGCATAGAGATAGGGCAGGCCAATAGCATCGTTTCCGCTTGATCTTTGTTTTGTATATATGTTTATAAGACTTATTGAAGATATGATTTTACATTCTATGACATGACACAGTTTATAGTCTGATTATGTTTTTTAATAGCCAAAAATAATCCATATTATTTCTTCTTTAATATCTTTTATTTTTTTACAGTGCACAGTCAGAATAAAAAACCTTTGACATAATGAAAATAGCGTGTGCCATAAAGCAGAATCTTATTACAAAGCCTGCACCCGGTCAGACCTTAAAGACAGTGCAAATAGTCAGCGGATTGTAAAGTCAATAATACAAGCCATCCACTCGGCTATAATCAAGAAAAGATCTATATTGAGGTGGAAAGCCGGAGTTTTCCGCAAATGTCAAAGGGAGGATGTTTGCGAGAGGGCAGCGGTGACAGGGGTGATGGGTGGGGACAGGGGACCGGCTGATGAGGGCTGGCCAGGCAAAGATCACAGTCCGGGGGCAAGAGGAGTCAGCAGCAGGCCCCGGCCCTGGATGTCTGGGTCTAACAAGCGGAGAGGATTCCGCACGGGTCATGGTTTTGATGAGGAGAAAGGTAAAAAGGGGAAACGACTGTAGAAAATGATAAAAGTCAGCATAATGAGGTTGGTGCAAGTAGTGTTTAACTTCATACAAGTATAATGACTGTCCAAGGGTTATGCTCATGCCAGACTACAGCTCACATTTCTTCAATTGTTCCTAAAAATTCTAATCCAATAAAAGTAGAATATCAATTATGCTTATGATGGAGATCGAACATGCCGATAAAAAGGCTTTTATCCACAGAGAGGACAGTCGATACAACATGCCAGCCAAACAAGGCTTTTGTCCACAGTCAAGAGCTAATATTCCCAGAACACTGACAGATTTTAAGTTTCTCTGCGTGTACATGTACAGTATATATATATATATATATATATATATATATATATATATATATATATATAATGTATATATATATGCTTGGTCCGCTTTTGATTTGGATCAGGCAAGCGGAGCAAAGGACTTTTCAGGTCTGAATACACTCTTAGTCTTTTTACGACAGATGAGCTTCTAGGCCATCTTTAAATGGGCAAAATCTCAATTATATCAAATCAAAATCTCAAATATCTTGATAAATATAATAATCAAATGTATTTTTGATGTGTATATTTGTTTTACAATAAAGATACAAAATGTCCGTGGTCTCAAACTATGCCCTGAGTAGACGTTTTTATCAGCAGGAAAATGCATGACTGTTGAGTGTCATATGAAAGCACTCAGGAGGCTGCATTTCGTCTTCATCTGGGGACAATGCACTCTACAATAAAAGGCCACAAAAATATGGATTTCTCCTTGTCCATTTCCAGAGCAGCAGTATAGTGTGAGAAAAGCAGTGCGTATTCAAGTACTTTCGCCCGCGTCTTTGTGCTGTGCAGTTACGGTCGTTGAGTCTCCTTTTGACTGGTGCAAATCTGAGCTGACCCGGGCCATTCCACACCGCTTTGGTGCACTAAGAATATCCCTCAATCACCTACAGACGGTCAGAAAGTCCAAAGTGGCGATCTCTCAAGAAGTCTGTGTGATCGGCCACTTAAGTCATTCTTAGGATATAGATATTTCCCATTTTTCGACGAAACTGCGCCGGAAAAGCAGCCTCCATTTTCCCCCGCGTTCGATTTCTCTCTCACAAATCCTTTTCAGGCCCTGTTCCTATTCTTCCTTTGAGGTCTTTTAAGTCATTATAAGTGTTTTTTTCACTCCCTTCTCGTCTTGTGAATAAAATAAGTGCAGATTTGCTGAAAATCAGTGGCTTTTGTGTGTGGCTGCGGGAGCATGGAGAAATGTTTGGACACTAATACCCATTCATTTCGCTAGCGCCGTAAATAAAAGCTGCCAGCTCCGCGGCTGCCGTGAAGTGCTATTCTTTGGTGCCCAGCGGGTTGTCCTGTTCACATTAGCACAGCGGGGAAAACTGGCCGGAACAGCCAGACAACTAAATCAAGACATTGTCAACTTCTGACAAAATTGCTGAGGCGGTAGGGGGGGAGCTGGTGGTGTCTGTTGGGTGGGAGTGAGCGCGCGGGAAGAAAAGCGCGAGGAAGAATCTCCAATGACTACATATTCCTAAGGTCGCTAGAGCTACAGGGTTAAAGGGAATGTCTGTAAGTTAGAAAAATGGAGAGAGAGGGAGTGGTGTTCTCCGATCCCTCCTGAGCACTGCAAACATCTACAACATTATTGATATTATTATAGATTTAGGTGTTGCTAAGGTCAGTTCGAGAGGGTTATAGTTATATGGCAAAACAATGGATGTATTTTATAACTTGCTGAATCGTTTTGTGATAATTCTCAAGAGATAATTCTCAAATGAGAATACTAGCTTTGACATTACATGTAATATGTATAAACATGTATAATAATCATGGATTATAAACTGTAATTCTCGGGATATTTGGCACTTCTTTTATCAAGTGTGTTTTAGGGGTTTTTTGTGTGCTACCTGGACCTGGAGGCCACCAACGCCAGAGGTGACGAAAGTTTACGCATTCATTTTAATTTGCGGCATCTTTATTTACCTTTCCATGGGAACCGGGGAGGTTCTGCTGCAAATGGCCGTCTTGGTTCTTTTGTACACAAAAAAGAATTCAAAGAACTGGATTTCACTCACACATATGGAGGAATAGTTTGTGGCATTCATGCGTTTATGGACTTGAGGGAAGTCCTCATTTTTTAGGGCTGGAGTCGACCAAAAAATGTAATTGTTCGAATGGACAATAAAGGGCAATGCTTTCAAAACTGTAATCGTTATATGTATCTGAATTGATTTCAACTCATGCTGAACAAGTAAAAAATAACATGTTTCATAATCTAATAATTTTATAAATCCGGATATGACCAGTAAAATCTGACAAATCAGGAGCCGTCCGTCCATGAATTCGTCTACCGTTGTGGTTGCTATGAAGTTGCTATGAGAAAATGTGGTACCAGACAATCACTACGGGTCACATCTTCGCTCAGTTAGTCCACTCCTACAATCTGTTAGGACGACTATAATGAAGGTATGCAGGTCTGTTTTTGATGAGCGAATAATGTTGGTACAATAAATGTGGCCAAACTTACGTGCGAGACCTCTGAGGCTGTGCAGGGCAGGGCAGGGCCTGGTTAGTACTGGGATGGGAGACCTCTTGGAACATCAGGTGGCACAATGGGGCGGGTACTGCAGTAAAGTGCCAAACGTTACTCCTTAGACAAGACACGTCCCCCACATTGCCTCGAATAGTGTGTGTGTGAATGACATACTGGTTGTCCTTCTGCTGTCAGTGTGCCCCAGGGCAGCTGTGGCTACAATAGTTTATCAGCACTGTGTATGAAGTGAAAGAATAATTTCATTTGAAACACACAAAAGCGCTATATAAACCCAATGTATTATTATTATTATAAACTCAAGAAACCTGTTTGAATGAAGATATCTATACTACTTAGAAACTTCATTTGTAAAATATTTTTGCAGCTGTTTAACTCACCTACAGACGAGGAGGACCTTTGAGTGCCGATGCTCGCCCATCTGTAATCACGTTGGAGTGGATAATATCGCTCTGAGAGATGCAGAGAGGTGGTGGAGGGAGGTAAGACGTTTCATGCCCAGAGTCCACAACAAACGCAGGGTTAATTAGAGGGCCCTGGGTTAGCACAACTGAAGCAACTCCAGGTGGTCCGCTGGTCCACACCCAAGCGAGGTCAATTAGGGCAATTAACAGCAATTAGCAAGTGCAAGTTTAGAATAATGTTTCTGTATGGTGGTAGAGCTGGAAAAATACAATGTGAGTCAGCCAATTCCTACCGTTCTGTAACCGGTGAGGCCTAGCTGAAATGTCCCCACAGTGGGACAAATAAAGGAACTTAATCTTAACCAAAAGATAGAATAAGGTAAACTTTAATGATCTCACTTTGGATTAGATACCTTTTGTCCCAATAAGAATCTTTACTTTGGCATCTATGGATTGTGATTGAGTAAACCTAAGTTTTTCAGAAATGTTTTAGTAATATTGACATTATTTCACCCACTTATATCTCAGAATCTCTATTTCAGGGGAGTCCTGGCCTCAGAAAGAGGGGCCAGGGGCGTTGGGTGGAGGCAGGATAATGGGGGACTGTTACAGATAGAGCTATATAATATAATACATAAAATTTAAAAAAATTACGGAAATGTAAGTGGTAGCCATATAGAAAGTGACCTGGACTCAGCTGTAAATGCATTAAATGCAAATCAATATACTATATATATCGAGTGTAAGTGTAACGTTTTCACAGCGTCCGCATGGTTCTTTACCCCAGGAAAAATATAGGAGTTCTCATTTGCATTTTCCAAGGCGCCAATACATATGTTTGCTTTGACCTTCAAATTATCAGCTGAAAAATAACTAACTTCTTTATACTGTCGTGATGACCAGCTCAGTTTGAACACAAAAAGTTTCAACAAATATATTTTGCCTGCTTTAGGGTTCTTGCAGTGCCATATTTTAATGTATTTCAGATAACTCTTTCTGATTTCTTTGTAATTGTTTTCCACGATCATAAAGCTGTTTTCTATGGATGTTGGTATTGGCTTGTTCCCCTCAATCCGGTCCCATCTTAGCATCTCATCCTCACGAGGATATAAAAACAAGCACACACAAACACACAATCACAGGCCTCCTCTCTGCGTGGGGCCGGTTGTCCCTTGGATCCTCCCTGCTCTCATGCTGCTGCGGTCGCTTCACTGGAGCGCAAAAAAACAGTGTCACCGATGCAGTCTCCGGGGCCGCGCTCTGACCCCCGCTTTGGCCCCTGTACAGCCACCGGGATTGGGCGACCCGCGAACCACACACATCACACTGCTTCAAACGGCACAAGGAACAAGGGAGAAAACAGTGTTCCATTCACTGCACAAAGACATGGAGGACAGCACTGGCTGCGGTGAAAACGGGGATAAGATGGAGGGGAAGACTGTGTGTGGATTGATAAGTGTGTCATATAATTGTTCAAAGAGAACTTAATTGTTAGAAATGTAAACAATCTGCTGTAATCCAAGCTAAGTTAGCAAAATTAGCAAGTGTTAGCATGAGTTAGCCACAAGTTAGCCAGTGATGCAAGCATAAATAAGCCTCATGTTTTTTTTCTCCCCAATCCAATTACACCCATGATAATATTCTTAATCTGGGGAAAAAGAAAAAACATGTTTCACAATCAGGTTTAGGACAAAGATTAGGATTATAAATTCACTATAGCACAGTTCACCATTTGTGGCCTCGATGTTTTACTTCTCAGATTCAGATTCAGTTTTATTTGCCATTTGCAGTAAAAAAACATTAAAAGACAAAAATAAAACAAATAAAACAGTAAACAATGCACTCATGCACCTCATTTATTCTCCAGGTTCATATCACCGCTGGTATAACAGGTACAACATAACAATTTCAGGAGAAATCTTTTGTGGCTTGTGTGCACAGCAGTCTTCCCGTAGCCCAGTAGCCCAATAAGCCCAGTAGGTGCAGCAGCGCTAAGACCTACAACCCTCAAGTTCGATAACTCCGTGACTTCAGGTGAAGTGTGTGGTGAGGGGGTGAACATGGAACTGCTGCTACTTTGTGGATTTTGTTTATTGCAGTTAATTTTTAGAAAGTAAAGATAAACCACTGTAGTTTATTTCATTCTTTCTCTGCTGTAATATGCACAACGATGACACTAATTTCTCCACTGTGAGACAAATAAAGGAATATCTTATCTTTAAAAAAATTAGCAGACATTGCCCTTTGCGTCTTTGGGGTTGGGCAGGGGGATATGAAGGGAGCTAAAACCAGGGTCTGTTTGTTTCAACATGGTTAAAAACTCAACTTTGCATAACATGTCTCTTTAATAAGTGAACTGTTCCTGGTAATAAGCGGATTAGCACAGAAATAAGAATTCAATCAGATGAAAGTTAGTTAAAACCGCTAATTAAGCAGCGTGGCATCGCCTCATTGATTGACTTTGTGGGAAAGGCGCGTATTCCGGTCCGATATTGAGACTATCACCGAATCACAGTAATTGAGCGTGATTAGCGGGAGCAGTGGCGGAGCCCAGATGGTTTTTAATTGGCTGGCGTCGAGAGCAGAGGTCTTGTGTTTTTTTTTCTCATTCCTTTTTTCTCCTCAAGCCTGCGAGATGGTGTGAGCAGAGGAGGTCACGACAAGGAACAGCACCCATACTACTGCCAATCAGTTCTCAGCTCAAATAGGCATATACTGACACACATGCATGGTCCTTACACACATTCAGATGCAATATGCTTATTATAACCAAACAACACTACTATTACTACTACCATCTCTACTACTTCTAGTGCTAACAAACACACACTCATTCACCCTGAACTATTGTACATATTGTGGAAACCGGAGCACCCAGAGGAAACCTAATTAGACATGAGGAGAACATGCAAATTCCATACAGAAAGGCCTGGAGGTGGAATCAAACCCAGGACCTTCTTGCTGTGAAGCACAACGCTAACCACTGCACCACCGTGTTGCTGCTACTTTTTCTTCCTCTGCTAGTATCTCTACTACTACAATTACTGCTGCTGGAAAC